GTGACATTTATTGTGGCAACGTTTCGCTCTCCAGGAGCTTTATCAAGGTAATGGCTTGATAAAGCTCCTGGAGAGCGAAACGTTGCCACAATAAATGTCACATTAGTTGCACTTGTGTCCTTTTACTTTACATATTGTCGGTAATTCTACCAACTTTATTACTATTTATGTACTTGTTGAAATAAAGATTATTATTATTATTATTATTATTATTATTATTATTATTATTATTATTATTATTATTATTATTATTATTATTATTATTATTATTATATATTCTGTGTGACCTTGGAGAAATGTCAGCAATAAAAGTCCCGAGATATTAAGTTTATTTAGGTACAGGTACACATAAGTACAGTTACACAAATCCGGGTGACTACAATTATCATACATAGTAACATATGTGTAAATTACCTATAATAACCCAAAAATAAGTCAGGATAAGTAACTTATTTCCAGTGGTGTCCTTGTAATATCTTATTATTTAAAGCCTAACTGCAAGATACAACAGAAAAACTGTAAGATAACACTGTGGCAACAGTGCCTAAGCATCCAAGAAATCGTACTAGAGAAATTATATACAAAATTACAGCAACAGATGAGCAATCTAGTTAATAATCCCAAGACGTATAAAGTTTGAGGTCGTCTACGCTGCAAAGATTCCATTTCCCTCAGTCCCCCCTGCAACCTTGACCGAATTCCTCCGTTCTCTCTCTGTATCTTCCTTCACATATACATAAGGGGTGACGCACATAAGTACAATGATCATATGTAATAACGTATGTGTAAATTGCCCAGGACAACCTAACGAAAAGTCGGACAAAGTGACTTATTTCCACAGGCTGCATGTAGCGTGTATACCATCAATGTATATACACAGAGATACATACCTCTCGGTATATACCTGGTGGCCCGGTCTCAGACCAAAGATTGTGGTGAATCAGGGTCTGATCAACTAGGCTGTTTCTGCTGGCAGCATGTAAACAGACATACGAACCACAGCTTGGTTGATCATGCACTTTAGGTGCCTGTCCAGTGCTTTTTGTATATGCGAGGAAGATGAAAACATGGTAGTTAGCTCCTCTTTCTAACAACCGAGGGACCCAGGTATGATTTTGGGGCGAGTGGAGACACTGGGTATGTTCCCTTACACCTGTTGCTCCTGTTCACCTAGTAGCAAGTAGGTGACTGGTGTGGGTGGCATCTTTGGGGATGAGGACAACAACGGAACTAAGCCACTCTGATTTCTTGGCTTGTTAACCCTCTGGGTTAATAATGCGAATATAGTAAGTGACCTTAGATCCTTCTAAGATGAATAATTGAATCAAGAACCCTTCACCCCTGGATCAAGAACATTTCACCCCTGGATCAAGAACCCTTCACCCTTAGATCAAGAGCCCTTCACCCCTGGATCAAGAACCCTTCACCCTTAGATCAAGAGATCTTCACCCCCTGGATCAAGAATCCTTCACCCCCTGGATCAAAAGCCCTTATCCCCTGGATCAAGAGCTCTTATCACCTGGATCAAGAACCCTTCACCCTTAAATCAAGAGCCCTTCACCCCTGGATCAAGAACCCTTCACCCCCTGGATCAAAAGCCCTTATCCCCTGGATCAAGAGCCCTTATCAGCTGGATCAAGAGCCCTTCACTCCTGAATCAAGAGCTCTTCAGCAACATCAACTCACAGGTGGGCTCGCTTGAGAGGGTCTAATACGAAGCCTTCAAGTATATTTCTAATTTATATATATTTTCAAATATACATTATGCATATAAATCTTAAAAATAAATGTGGATATTTGTGTCAAGACGGTTTAGGATCATTATTATTTATTAAAACAACATTAAAAACAAGGGTGGAGAGGTAAGCCAGCGGAAGGTCTCCGTCAGATGACCAAAAACTCCAGCTGTGGGTCGTCATATGACTAAGACCCTCGTCAGGAAACACTTGTCCTGTTCCCTGACGAACATTATACCTACCTAGAAAACAAGCTTTTAACTGGAACGTTTCGCTCTGATGACTTGATACAGCTCTGTCTCGTTCATGCAGTTCGAAACGTTGAGACAATAAGAGTTGTTCTCAACTTTCTGATATATTTCTAGGAAATGACAACTTTTCAATAATTCCTGTATGATAAAACACTGTGATTCTTTGTTTAGTCAACGTTAGTGTGTCAGTGAGAAGTGTGGATGATACTGCTGACAGCTGCTGTCAGTGAGAAGTGTGGATGATACTGCTGACAGCTGCTGTCAGTGAAGTGTGGATGATACTGCTGACAGCTGCTGTCAGTGAGAAGTGTGGATGATACTGCTGACAGCTGCTGTCAGTGAGAAGTGTGGATGATACTGCTGACAGCTGCTGTCAGTGAAGTGTGGATGATACTGCTGACAGCTGCTGTCAGTGAGAAGTGTGGATGATACTGCTGACAGCTGCTGTCAGTGAGAAGTGTGGATGATACTGCTGACAGCTGCTGTCAGTGAGAAGTGTGGATGATACTGCTGACAGCTGCTGTCAGTGAGAAGTATGGATGATACTGCTGACAGCTGCTGTCAGTGAGAAGTGTGGATGATACTGCTGACAGCTGCTGTCAGTGAGAAGTGTGGATGATACTGCTGACAGCTGCTGTCAGTGAGAAGTGTGGATGATATGCTGACAGCTGCTGTCAGTGAGAAGTGTGGATGATACTGCTGACAGCTGCTGTCAGTGAGAAGTGTGGATGATACTGCTGACAGCTGCTGTCAGTGAGAAGTGTGGATGATACTGCTGACAGCTGCTGTCAGTGAGAAGTGTGGATGATACTGCTGACAGCTGCTGTCAGTGAGAAGTGTGGATGATACTGCTGACAGCTGCTGTCAGTGAGAAGTGTGGATGATACTGCTGACAGCTGCTGTCAGTGAGAAGTGTGGATGATAACTGCTGACAGCTGCTGTCAGTGAGAGTGTGGATGATACTGTTGACAGCTGCTGTCAGTGAGAAGTGTGGATGATACTGCTGACAGCTGCTCAGTGAGAAGTGTGGATGATACTGCTGACAGCTGCTGTCAGTGAGAAGTGTGGATGATACTGCTGACAGCTGCTGTCAGTGAGAAGTGTGGATGATACTGCTGACAGCTGCTGTCAGTGAGAAGTGTGGATGATACTGCTGACAGCTGCTTTCAGTGAGAAGTGTGGATGATACTGCTGACAGCTGCTGTCAGTGAGAAGTGTGGATGATACTGCTGACAGCTGCTGTCAGTGAGAGTGTGGATGATACTGCTGACAGCTGCTGTCAGTGAGAAGTGTGGATGATACTGCTAACAGCTGCTGTCAGTGAGAAGTGTGGATGATACTGCTGACAGCTGCTGTCAGTGAGAAGTATGGATGATACTGCTGACAGCTGCTGTCAGTGAGAAGTGTGGATGATACTGCTGACAGCTGCTGTCAGTGAGAAGTGTGGATGATACTGCTGACAGCTGCTGTCAGTGAGAAGTGTGGATGATACTGCTGACAGCTGCTGTCAGTGAGAAGTGTGGATGATACTGCTGACAGCTGCTGTCAGTGAGAAGTGTGGATGATACTGCTGACAGCTGCTGTCAGTGAGAAGTGTGGATGATACTGCTGACAGCTGCTGTCAGTGAGAAGTGTGGATGATACTGCTGACAGCTGCTTTCAGTGAGAAGTGTGGATGATACTGCTGACAGCTGCTGTCAGTGAGAAGTATGGATGATACTGCTGACAGCTGCTGTCAGTGAGAAGTGTGGATGATACTGCTGACAGCTGCTGTCAGTGAGAAGTGTGGATGATACTGCTGACAGCTGCTGTCAGTGAGAAGTGTGGATGATACTGCTGACAGCTGCTGTCAGTGAGAAGTGTGGATGATACTGCTGACAGCTGCTGTCAGTGAGAAGTGTGGATGATACTGCTGACAGCTGCTGTCAGTGAGAAGTGTGGATGATACTGCTGACAGCTGCTGTCAGTGAGAAGTGTGGATGATACTGCTGACAGCTGCTGTCAGTGAGAAGTATGGATGATACTGCTGACAGCTGCTGTCAGTGAGAAGTGTGGATGATACTGCTGACAGCTGCTGTCAGTGAGAAGTGTGGATGATATGCTGACAGCTGCTGTCAGTGAGAAGTGTGGATGATACTGCTGACAGCTGCTTTCAGTGAGAAGTGTGGATGATACTGCTGACAGCTGCTGTCAGTGAGAAGTTATGGATGATACTGCTGACAGCTGCTGTCAGTGAGAAGTGTGGATGATACTGCTGACAGCTGCTGTCAGTGAGAAGTGTGGATGATACTGCTGACAGCTGCTGTCAGTGAGAAGTGTGGATGATACTGCTGACAGCTGCTGTCAGTGAGAAGTGTGGATGATACTGCTGACAGCTGCTGTCAGTGAGAAGTGTGGATGATACTGTTGACAGCTGCTGTCAGTGAGAAGTGTGGATGATACTGCTGACAGCTGCTCAGTGAGAAGTGTGGATGATACTGCTGACAGCTGCTGTCAGTGAGAAGTGTGGATGATACTGCTGACAGCTGCTGTCAGTGAGAAGTGTGGATGATACTGCTGACAGCTGCTGTCAGTGAGAAGTGTGGATGATACTGCTGACAGCTGCTGTCAGTGAGAAGTGTGGATGATACTGCTGACAGCTGCTGTCAGTGAGAAGTGTGGATGATACTGCTGACAGCTGCTGTCAGTGAGAAGTGTGGATGATACTGCTGACAGCTGCTGTCAGTGAGAAGTGTGGATGATACTGCTGACAGCTGCTGTCAGTGAGAAGTGTGGATGATACTGCTGACAGCTGCTGTCAGTGAGAAGTGTGGATGATACTGCTGACAGCTGCTGTCAGTGAGAAGTGTGGATGATACTGCTGACAGCTGCTGTCAGTGAGAAGTGTGGATGATACTGCTGACAGCTGCTGTCAGTGAGAAGTGTGGATGATACTGCTGACAGCTGCTGTCAGTGAGAAGTGTGGATGATACTGCTGACAGCTGCTGTCAGTGAGAAGTGTGGATGATACTGCTGACAGCTGCTGTCAGTGAGAAGTGTGGATGATACTGCTGACAGCTGCTGTCAGTGAGAAGTGTGGATGATACTGCTGACAGCTGCTGTCAGTGAGAAGTGTGGATGATACTGCTGACAGCTGCTGTCAGTGAGAAGTGTGGATGATACTGCTGACAGCTGCTGTCAGTGAGAAGTGTGGATGATACTGCTGACGCTGACAGTCCCTGGACCAATTATGTACCTCTGTAATCTTTTGACTACCGCCCACAGGATGGGTATGGGGTGCATAATAAACATATTAAACTAACTACTGCTGACAGCTGCTGTCAGTGAGAAGTGTGGATGATACTGCTGACAGCTGCTGTCAGTGAAGTGTGGATGATACTGCTGACAGCTGCTGTCAGTGAGAAGTGTGAATGATACTGCTGACAGCTGCTGTCAGTGATTATTATTATTATTATAATCAAGGGGGAAGCGCTAAACCCGGAGGATTATACAGCTGCTGTCAGTGAGAATTGTGCATCATACTTCTGGCAGCTGCTCTCGTCTGTAACTGCTTCATTACAAATAGTTCTTGTGGTGTGGTGTCTGGCTGCGCTGCGGCCCACACCAGCGCCTTCGACAACAAACTGACTGTCTCGCCTGCAGATGGTATCTCCTGCACTGGAGGAATATCTAAGGCTATTTTACCTTCCTCTAGACTGACTAGTGGTTGTATGGTGCTGTGGCTTCCCGGAGATAAGTCTCCATCAAGTTGCTCCTCTGTGTATTCATAATCATCGGGGTTTTCTACTTCTGACTTCACTGATGGAGGCGAAGATCCCTCTAAGACATGCTCAATGAAGGCTAGAGTGCTTCCCTTTCTTATCCTCTTCCCTAGCTTCAGGTTTCCCCCTTGTCTAGCAGTGGGAGGTCTTCTTCTGCGCTTGCCTCGCCCCGCCTTCAGTACATCCTCCTGCGATACTCTGGAGATGATGGGTCGCCATAAGTCCACCTCATCAGGCTTGAAGAAACGGATATTGTAACGCCGCTTGAACCTCTCCAACCAGCCCGTACTGGCACGGAATTCTTCGTTACCTCGCAACCTGAAGTGTTCTTGCCGTGCCTTAGCCATGACTGCTGTTCCTGTCATCATCTTTCCACCACGCATCTCCTGAAAAAAAGGAAAACGTAGTTAGCTTTTATTCCACAAAGTAACTCATACATACACAAATAACCCGCACACAGAAAACAGATATGTACTTAGACCATCAGTCACTCAGTGTGTGACTGGTGGCATAAGTTTGTTTTTCCTATGTGCGGGTTATTTGTGTATTGCTCCAGTCACGTATTGTTCCAGTATTGTGACTTTCTGTTTTTTTAACTCATGTATAATAGTCAGAATGATAGATTTAACGCCGACTGATTACATATAAACATTAAGGCTACAAACTGTACACTAACATTCAATTATTATTATAATCAAGGGGGAAGCGCTAAACCCGGAGGATTATACAGCGCCTGGGGGGGATGTGGAAGGCATTCAGGCTTAATTCGGGGAACTGGAGCACATATCCAATTCCCTAAATCAAGAGCCCCTCACCAACATCAAGGAACCTTCCTTGAGGGGACTAACATTCAAGAATACTTTAATCTCTGAAAATCTGATTAATGTAAACTCTCAGTGTATATACACTGAGATGGCCGATAAATATTTGATAAGTACCTGTGGTTCTAACCCTCTGGTTCTAATTTGAAAAAATCACTAAAATTACCTGTGTTTCAAATCCCGTCGTCATCACTTGTGGTTCTAACCCTGGCAGAATCACCTATAGTTATAACCCTGGCAGAATCACTGTAGTTCTAACAGTGGCAGAATCCTTGTGGTTCTAACCCTGGCAGAATCCCTTGTGGTTCTAACCCTGTGGCTCTAACTCTAGCCCACTTTTAGATTCTCGCCGTAACTCACTTGCCACGAGTTCAAACCCCACCCGTCCCGTGGGTTTGTTGACTCTCACCACAGGTTCATCTACGGACCTTCCCTGCCTTGTTTATGATTCTCCCTCACCTGAACAAGCCAATCGAAGACAGCTTCTTCCACATCGGCCTTAGCACCCGATTCAAGCTTTCTTCTGGTCATGGCCACGAAGTCTCCGTTGGTCTCCACATACTTGAGGATCTCCGCCTCGTGTTTCTTGACATCGGAGACAGTGGAGGTGCCAATACCATATTCAAGGGCCAATTGTCTCTGTGAGTCTCCGTTGTGGAGGCGACGGATTAATTCAGCCTTTTCGGCGATGGACAGTACCGTACGTCTCCGCTTGATGACTGTGTAAGAAAGTTAGTGGTCAGTCTTTAATAAGTTTATTTAGGTTCAGTCTTTAATAAGTTTATTTAGGTTCAGTCTTTAATAAGTTTATTTAGGTTCAGTCTTTAATAAGTTTATTTAGGTTCAGTCTTTAATAAGTTTATTTAGGTTCAGTCCTTAATAAGTTTATTTAGGTTTCAGTCTTTAATAAGTTTATTTAGGTTCAGTCTTTAATAAGTTTATTTAGGTTCAGTCTTTAATAAGTTTATTTAGGTTCACCCCTCAAGGAAGGTTCCTTGATGTTGGTGAGGGGCTCTTGATTTAGGGAATTGGATCTGTGCTCCAGTTCCCCGAATTAAGCCTGAATGCCTTCCACATCCCCCCCAGGCGCTGTATAATCCTCCGGGTTTAGCGCTTCCCCCTTGATAATAATAATAATAATAATAATTATTTGGGTTCAGTCTTTAATAAGTTTATTTAGATTCAGTCTTTAATAAGTTTATTTAGGTTCAGTCTTTAATAAGTTTATTTAGGTTCAGTCTTTAATAAGTTTATTTAGGTACAGTCTTAAATAAGTTTATTTAGGTACAGTCTTTAATAAGTTTATTTAGGTTCAGTATTTAATAAGTTTATTTAGGTTCAGTATTTAATAAGTTTATTTAGGTTCAGTCTTTAATAAGTTTATTTAGGTTCAGTCTTTAATAAGTTTATTTAGGTACAGTCCTTAATAAGTTTATTTAGGTTCAGTATTTAATAAGTTTATTTAGGTTCAGTCTTTAATAAGTTTATTTAGGTTCAGTCTTTAATAAGTTTATTTAGGTTCAGTCTTTAATAAGTTTATTTAGGTTCAGTCTTTAATAAGTTTATTTAGATTCAGTCTTTAATAAGTTTATTTAGATTCAGTCTTTAATAAGTTTATTTAGGTTCAGTCTTTAATAAGTTTATTTAGATTCAGTCTTTAATAAGTTTATTTAGATTCAGTCTTTAATAAGTTTATTTAGGTACAGTCTTTAATAAGTTTATTTAGGTTCAGTCTTTAATAAGTTTATTTAGATTCAGTCTTTAATAAGTTTATTTAGGTTCAGTCTTTAATAAGTTTATTTAGGTACAGTCTTTAATAAGTTTATTTAGGTTCAGTCTTTAATAAGTTTATTTAGGTACAGTCTTTAATAAGTTTATTTAGGTTCAGTCTTTAATAAGTTTATTTAGGTACATGTACACATAAGTACAATTGTGATACCTAGTAACATATGTGTAAATTATCTATGCCTAATAACCCAAAAAAAGTCACAGTGATTTATTTCCATTGTGGGTCTTGTAATATCTTATTATTTAAAGCCTAACTCTATTATGGAGAGAGAGAGAGAGAGAGAGAGAGAGAGAGAGAGAGAGAGAGAGAGACAGACAGACAGACAGACAGACAGACAGACAGATAGACAGATTGACTAAGGTTCTGGTAACACTGATTATCATATATATTTTAGTCAATATTTTTTGAAAATGTCAGATAGTCTCACATGATATTCATATTATTTTTGAGTCTCATGACAATGGCCTCCGGAAAAAAAAATGACTGCCTTCATTAAACCATAAAACTTATTTCAAAATTATGAAAAAGTGAGTGCACACACACACACACACACACACACACACACACACACACACACACACAAGCAGAGGTATGATAAAGCTCACGGTTCAGGGAGAGTGGCCTAGTAACGACAGTGAAGAGGCGGAGCCAGGAGCTAGGACTCGACCCCTGCAACCTCAACTAGGTGAGTACACACACACACAAAGTGGAA